CAGCCCACTGTACCTATCCCCCCAAAAAAACATCGGTGAACGAAACTGCGGCAGCTACAACCACTGTACGACGAGTACGCGGTTATTACAGCTGACAATGATGATGATGATGATGATGATGATGATGATGATGATGATGGTGTAAGAAACTGTGCGACCAGTATACCTCACAAACAGTCACACGATGTTAAGGTCCGGTTACGTTTGTCACCCGTCCACAGGTGATACAGTAGCTACCGACGCGATGAGTTAGTCAGTCAGATAATAATAATGATAATGGTTCAGCCGTAGAACCTAACCCATGAACAATGGCCGTGCAACTCCAGAAAGGCTCGAGGAAGTGATACCGCGAGGTTACCCAGGCCTAGACAAAAGAAGTCGGAAAGCCAGTGTTGAGCTCCAACCCCGGGTATTCCGGTCGCTAGTTTCACGCTGATTTACCCCAAGTTCGGGTTTGTCCGTTACATGTTTCTTACATGTTTCGCTTCCACTTAAAGAATAAATCGCTCAGCTTTAACATCCTTCCGGTGCTTAGCTGTCATACTACCCGAAGGAAGCACGAGGGATGGGATACTGCCAAGTTGGCCAAACCTAGACAGGGGAAGTCGAGAAGCAGAGGTCAGGTTCGAACCACGGACCCTCCGGTCAGTAAATTAGCGCAAACTACTTGAGCCATCTCGCTCCCGCTTACAAAGTATTAACAAGATTGGACGAGAATGCCTACATGCTGTGGTCGGTCGTCAGGCATGCAGGAAATGTTGTCAGACCAGCGTAAATGTGGCCTGCCGCAAAAAGCAGCCGAAGTAACTTACTGATCCCATGACAATGACAACGCATCAGACACCGGCTAATGTTGACCTCTGTAAGGGCCACGCACCTGAATGACAGCAGCGTTGTCACTCGTCCCCGACAGATAAGCTGCGACATCAGCCCCGAAGGCGTCGTGGCATGTTTATCAGACAAGTTAGCAAACTAACAGCACTTTTAAAGAGTACAGGATGCAAGGTTATCAGGTCGCGCACCACTCTGCGCTCCAGTGGAAACCTTACGTGAAACTTCACTATCCGATGGGTTCCTGAACAGCGTCACAGGCAGTAAGCTCAAATATTATTCAAAGTATTCGGTGCTTTCTCAATAGTTTAGCAAACGACTGTTTTCCCTTGACCGGTTGTGAAGGAAATGGTCGTTTCCGTTAAACAAACCTCTTGCATCTGCAAGTGTGCTGTTCACCAACCCTGTCATTGCTAAACGATGAGGAAGTTATGAGTACAGAAGAGCTATCGAATGTGTCCGATGTTTGAGTATGTCTAAAAGGTCACTAAATTCTTGCGCTTTTCTAGATTTCTCCATTCTTCATACACCTAACGAGGACTAACAGTGCTGAATGGTGGCTGACCAGAGCCAGAGCCGCCTGATCATTTTAGTTCATTGAGTTCCCCTGTAAACGAAGCACCGGTCCGACTCTTGTTGGCCCATGGACCTGAGATGGGAAGTGAGTCAAACACGCGCGTACTGTGTAGCCGGAGTCAAGCTGCACACTCATGAGGCCATCTTGACTGAACGACTGATGAGTTTGTTGCCAAGTAGTTCAGTGAGTCTAACTGATCACCAAGAAGGTTGCGCTGGACAAAAAAGAGGTCTGGTTGGAGGAGCAAAAAGCCTTAACGCTACCCTCTAGTCAGTGCTGACAACGTACTTTGACTTGATTTCCACCATCATCAGAAAAACGCTTTTGGCCAGCCAGAGGTAAGCATTCATGAGGCCCCGAGTTTGGTAAATTTCCAACGGCTTAAATGATAACTAGCCGAGATTCCTGGTGACCGAACACTGCTTATCGGGTGATACAAGGCATTAACTGGATTCGACAACCATATGGTAGACAGACATCGATCAGAAACTTGTCTAGTGTGGCAGTTTCAACCTTAGTGCTGACTGTAAATCTCACGAATATGCAATACGAGAAATTGTGGGAGCTAGGCGATGTTCGATCGGAACATCAAATGCGTGACGCTGAGGTGGGCACCCCATGGTACGATGGTGCATGCTTGTTTAACTGAACACGGACATCTAAACTTTCTCCATGGAGTCCAGATGTGGGCTGTTTTTCCGCTGCAGCTGTCCTTAAACACATTTCTGTCCGTACTACTTTCTTCCGCCAATAATCCATTTATTTTAGGTACAGCTTAAAAAACAGGTTTTACAAGTACACTTCACCGTAAGCGCATTCACCCGGGAATGTCCTGATAGGATCTTTTCATTTTTCCTGATTAGGCCGCAGTTGCCGCGCACAAAACTCAACCAATAAACCGAACCACTCAGTTGTAATACCCTTTCGGTTCTCAACCATCACGCCACCCGAGGGAGCCAAGGAGGACGAGACGCTGCGAAGTTACCGACATCTAGACAATAACTGTCACTGTGCCGGAACTGGGTTCAGACCTTCTGGCCATTAAGTTGACGCCCAACCACTGAGCTATGTCAGGTCCTCGAGTACACAAAGACTTCAAGCTAAATGTACTCTGGCCGGGTACTTGTATCAGGCATGCCTGTAAAAGTAGCATCGGTCTCAACAGGGGGACTGGTGCGGTCTGGCATTTTGCTATACCTGGTCACCTAGAGATGTAGTGAATCCCTCAAAAGCTAAAAAGTACTGCTTTTCACTCGCTCAGATACCAGAAAACATGAAGGAACTCCGCCTAGCGCCAGTGGGTGGCGCTTTAGGGAGCTTGTAAGTCATGTACGAGCTATCCAACAACAGATAGGACATCCTCCATCCCATACCAGAAGTACATGCACAGGGTCTAGACTTCCAACTGGAATCCGCCGCTTCTGCTACGGTTTTGTGACAATTTCATTGATATCAAGCAAAACGATATACCGCCCTACCTCCCAGCCAGAATAATCAGAACCTTTCAATTTGAACGGGCCCAGCGAGTTAGATCGATTATAACCCCCTCCCCGGTCGAGAATTTCCCTTCGAAGGCCATTAAAACGTCGAACATGGGTGCAGTAAACAAATGGTTGAGGATATCACCTGACAGCTCAATCACCGACCTCTCTCGGTCTGAGTGAAAATTGTGTGCGTGGCACTATCTGTTTGCGCTGATCCGGGTTGTCAAGAGGGAACTCACTTGATCCGTTATGTCGTAAACGACGATAATTCCATGTGCTCCTCGATAATAAGACGATGTTATCGTGCGGAAACGCTCCTGGCCAGCTGTGTCCCAAATCTGTAGCTTCACAATCTTCCCATCAAGTTCAATGGTTCGGATTTTCTACAGCAAACATAACAAAATATGAAAGTGACGTACGAAATCAACGCCAATAGTACTGATATACGTTTCATTATACGTGTCATCCTATAGCGAACGATTATTTAAACGCAGAAAACCAACCGCAAAGCGTAGAAGGAGGCAGGACTTGCCAACACCCGAGTCTCCGATCAACAATAGTTTGAACAAGTAATCACTGCAACCGCAGCATATTAGAAACGACAGAAAATGGAATGACTTACTAATCTGGACTCATTTCCAAAGCGAAGGGAGAAGATGAAAACTACAAGTGGACGATCTTTGATTCGGAATCCAAATTTGTTTACTGATGCGACAAAACAAAGTGGAACAAGAAGTTTAGTTCAACATTGACCAGTAATAGCCCAAACACAAGATGGATTTGCCCCAGATTCTGTGAACTTACATAGTGCCAACGCAATTTTCGAAAGGCGTCTACCTTTCGTTACCTCAGTGCACAAAACACATATTGATTTGCTGAAGGTGAGCGTATCGATGTTCCAATTTCGTGCAAATTTTTCATTTCATTCGCCTTTCATGTAGCGCTTCCAATGGACTTTGGAGCCAAACGCCCACGAGTCCTCCGCAAGGAATGGTTGCGAGCTCCACGATCTACGGGAGGAGTGACTTCTCATCAGCCTCGGGAAATCGGGCAAGAAATATTACCCGCTCTATACTGGAAGCACACCAGCATTAGAAACGCGCCAATGAAAACACTCAAAACCACGACGGAGCCATTCGTGTCCACCTAACGGTTCTTCCCTTATGAAAAAGCCAGCAACTTCTGCAGTATTTGGACATGCGCAACCAGTCACAAAAACGTAATCGCAAAGGACCCCCCAAAAGTCCACTACCTACGTCGAACACCTAGCCAAATTTGATACCCTTGGTCATATTGCACATTGAAGGCCTTGCGAAATCAAAGGCCAAGGGAGCAACCGATTGAAAAACGCCCAATGTCCGGCTGTGATGAACATGACTGATACTCTATTCGTTGCTCTATTCATTATTCTCTTGTTTTAAAATTCCATATGCTGTATATATTCGCTAATTCGAATACATATGTGCTGGTTGTTACGCTTCGCTGAACTCTGGATTTCTAGTTCATCTGGTTATACCGATATACGTACGTCGCGATTGGAACGATTCATCATGCCTGCCGAAATGGAACCATTAGATGTTAATTCAACTGCGCGTGACGTAGAGGATTATTTGGAACGGTCCGATATATGGTGCCTCACAAAATCCTATATGGATGATAAGAAACTCACTGCATATTTCCTACATTTCGTTGGCAAGGATGCGTATACGTTGATCAAAAATTAAGTATATCCTGAATCTCCAATCGGTATTTCCTACACTGCATTGAAGAAGAAAGTTCTTCAGCATTTCAAGCCGATTAATTATGTAGCAGCCGAAAGAGCTAGGTTCAACATGTTGACCCGCTCCCATTCTCACTCGGTTCGTGATTTCGTGTTACAGCTGCAGACACAGGCAGCCAAATGTGACTACGGTGCCCAATTGGAAGACCAGCTGCGTGATAAACTCATCACTGGCATTCGGCTGCCCGAATTACAGCAGAAGCTGCTACTCTGTCCGGATCAGAAATTTTAAACTATTCGGAAAATATGTGAGCAGAATGAAGACGTGAAGCATCTGACGAAGACTGAGGAAGCAGTCCTGTTAAATTGTTCCAAAAGAAATAATTCAAGGGTGCAGACGAACAACAAATTCAAACCTCGAGCAGATTCTCGTGCCTCAAGTCCATCAACACGTCAATTCACAGATCGTAACCCTAATTCGATGGCTCAAAAATTTGGGAAATGCGAGTCTTGTGGACGAAACCATTCCAGATATTCATGCCCCCACAGACGAGCCAAGTGTTTTAGCTGCGGTAAAACAGGACACATTCAACTTGTCTGTAAGTCCAAGAAAGTGTGTCACTTAACTTCTGACCCAAACACTGACGTGAAGACATTATCTGAAGATATTTCTACTCTTTCTCTATCTGTTTTGTCCCAAAATTCGTCACATGTTTTTAAAACGTTGATATCCGCTTCTGGTCAAAAGCATGACTTTATTGTTGATACTGGTAGTGTTGAGTCCATCATTCCACAATCAGATCTAACTGCATTCTACCCCAGTGCCGTGATAGTGCCTACAGATGTTAACATTCGCGGTATCACTGGACATTCTGTACCTTTAGTTGGTCGTTGCACGATCCCTGTGAGGTTACCCCAAGGTACCTCTATCGATTGTAATTTCTTGGTTTCAACGTCGGGACCATCGATTGTCGGACTCAAAGTTCTGCGCTCACTGCAAACCAGTATCACCTCACCGACTTCTGTGAATGAGAACGAAATCAAACAACCGATTCCTAAATGTCCTAAGCCTACAGGTGGCATGCAAATGCCCAGGAGACGAATTGTTCCATTTGGCTTACACGAGCCTGTTCGTCAAGTGTTTCAACGAGTTCATGCCGACTACTGTGGTCCTTTTCTCGGCAAATACTATGCTTTGGTCGTTATTGACGCATATTCACGTTAGCCTGAAGTTTTTCTGACCAAGTCTCCAAGTGCCAAATTCACTCAGCACGCATTGAGGAAAGTCTTCAGCCATGAAGGTGCACCAACTGTCTTGGTCACTGACAACGGCACACACTTCACTGCAAACTTCCTCGAGGAATGGTTGAAGGGTCTTGGATGTCGACATCTCTTTGATGATCCGCGACATCCCCAGTCGAATTAACTTGCTGAAAATTTTGTCCGAATACTTAAGTCTGCCTTTATTTCACTTTCTCCTACTTCTTTTGTGGAATTGGACCGTGGGATTGATAACTTTCTAATGCAATACAGGAACGCCGTCCATTCCGTTACTGGGACGAGTCCCGCGCTTCTATTTAAATCTCGTTCGTTGCGTACAAGTCCTGACTGTGCCAAAACGGCTGATGTCACATTTTTCAAGGGTAATGAGTTACGACCTGTCACAGGAATAGCACTTTCATCAAATGGCAAACGGATGGTCACAATTCTCGATTTGGATGATCTCGCTTGCCACCGGAGGCACATTGACCAGGTTGAGTTCAACACCAGAGGTCAGTCTGTTAACGGCCATCCTGTTGTTTCAAATACTAACGAGTCCTTTGTAGATGACCTTGTGGTATCTGAACTAAGCGTACCTGAAGAACACACAACCTGTGAAAAGTCTGAAGTTCCCATTCCGAGAAGATCCGAACGATTGCGGTCAAGACCACCCCGGGACTATAAACTTCCACACTCTCATTCAAGGTGTGGCGGATGTGATGAACATGACTGATACTCTATTCGTTGCTCTATTCATTATTCTCTTGTTTTAATATTACATATGCTGCACATATTCGCCAATTCCAGTACATACGTGATGGTTGTTACGCTCCGCTGAATCCTGGATTTCTAGTTCGTCTGGTTATACCAATATGTGTACGGAACTCAACTCTCACACCGGCTCTGCTTTATGAGGAATTATATGGCCCTGCCCTCGTGTGCTCCCATCCACTCATAAAGCACTGCAAGTTCCTGGCCACAGATAAAAAAGGACTCGACAAGTCCCCGTTATTTGAGGTCTGTGCCCTTTTTATTACGTATTTTATGCATGCAATACCATAGTTTATTGATACTTCTCAAGAATCAAAAGTTTTTGGCTTGTGATTTTGCGCGGCACTCAGTTGGGCTTTCCCGAATAAGTCAAAGTATTCCACAGCACTGAAATTCGACTATTTCACCTTGGACCCTGAGGAGCAAACTTCGACGCTTACCACACGCTGTCCAGATCCCATGTGAACCGTATTGCAGGACCATGTTTTGTCCCTCCCCATATCCTTGCCCACCAAATGATAGTAAGGCTAGTATCGATAGGTCCAGCGTAGTTGCTGCACAGCAGTTAGAAGTGAAACTTGAGCGAGACGATATAAAGGGAGAATAAACAGAGAATTTGCGATATCTGGGAACTGGAAAGAAGAGGGTTGAATCGAATCGGAATGCACTGGCAAGTCCGCATCTGGAAGCCGACGAGAGCCATTTATCGGAGGATGAGCTACTTCAGATAGCGCCGCCACGAAAGGCGAAACATGAAACCAATCTCCACATCAACTATGGCACCACCGAAGGTAGAAACGGATGAATTCGATAGGACCCCGCGTAAATTTTGGGAAATTATGAACATCGCCAGCAGACCTGTTGACGACACGCGGCGACTACTGTATCTTGTCCACTGTTTTACCGGTAAAGCCAAGGCAGCAATAGAAGATCGCGTACCGCTACCAGAGAGCGATGGCTTCTTGAAAGCTATGGATATCCTTCATAAAGTGTTCGGACAGCCACACGGCATGGCACAGAGCTTCATTGGTAGCATATTTGTCGGCAACTCCATTGCTGCTCGGCGCACTGGCGCAGCGATGCACTAAACACTGTGTAAGAATCAAACCGTTTGAATGTGTACCCAACGCGAAAATGAATTCACTCCAACTACTCAGCCGGCGGTTTTACGCACCATTTAATAACATTTGGATACCCCGACCAACCATCATGTTTTGAATAGATGCTCCAAAACATCAAGCTCCAGTTTGTGTTTGATGACATTAGGGGCAGCCAGGCACCGAGAGAACCCACAAATGCCGACCGGGTCATCAACATTGAGCTCTCCTTCTTCAATAATGCACCAAAACCAAAATCGGCGCTTCTAAACAGATCTGGTTTTTGAAAAGCTTACAAGAAATAGCAACCTTGCACACACCAAAATCACGGTCGGCACCTAAGAAAAGATATTCAGCTGAACACATGCTCACCATAACGTGCCGATCGGAAGCTACGCAGTAAATCCACGAACCCTCAGCAACCCCGGCGAAGCACTGGGAAAAGAGCAAAAAACTGCAGTAGTACATAAAGTGGGGCTAAACCTTAAACCACTCCCGCATATACCTGTGCCCAGCTGAAAGCTGAATGCTGCCTCGGCGAGCATCCGGCAGATTATCAAGATAATCTGGAAGTGTCTGCTTCATCCCCAAATTCTAGAGTGGTGAAATTTGCTGAAGCTGTGTGCCTCAAATGAACACGAATACCTCTTCTTAATATTAACAGTAGTGGAGAAAACGTGCAAAGAAGCTTTCGGTGCGACAGATATGACATCAAGTCCCTCTGAATGCCATCCAAATAATTGGGAATAGTCAATCTTGGGGCCATGAAGAAAACGGGCGAAAATTTCAACTGGATTGAACAGGTTTCATCCGAAATACAACAAAATGGAGGACAAATCAAACGGGTTGCAATTACC